GTATCATTTTCGACTATTTCCTTCAATACCAATGTTCGTAGATGAGGTAAATGATTAAGAATAGAGTAAAATGTACGCCAATTGAACTCATAACAAATTGTCATGTGTTCCAATCTACATGATTTAGGCCATTTTATTCCATTGAGAATATAATCATATCCTTTGAATTCAAATTTACGAAGATCACTGCAAGATATAATAGATGATAACAATCTTATATTGTCGATACCATTGTAACGAGGAGATATTGAGAATGTCGTAAGGGAATACTTCATTATATGCTGTTGAAATTCATCTAAATCTTCGTATTTTACATCAATGAGAGTCAATGAACGTAATCGAATGAATTGATCAATACGAAGATGTGAGAGAAAGAATCGAATTTGATTGCGTGATTTCTTTTCATCGGATAGTATAAGTGAAATAACATTTTTAGGATCAATAATACGTACCATGAGAAGTAGATCAGATTTTGACATATAACGAAAGTCTAATTTATAGCAATCGTAAGCATTAGCAATGGAATAGAACCATTTGCATAAGCTACGAATTGAAAAGACAATTGTTTCTACATTAAGATAATCGAAAATTCGATGAACAAGTTCGATAGGTAATATTTGTAAATAAGATTCTCTTTTAACAGACATAAGTCGTACTACACAGAATATACAAGTGTAAAATGTTTTATTTTTAACTATACGTCACGATTGCCCATCCACGTCGAATGCGAATACCTTAACAATATGTCACATTGGAGTGTATAGAATGAAAAAAAAAGCAAATACTTGTATATTTATCCACTGAAATGTTGAAAAAGAAATGCAAAAGGTAATTCGTAGACTCACCTTACAAATATTTCATAATAAGAATGCAATAACTTACGGTTGAAATTATGACGAAATTAATGCTAAACTTTTTCTGAAGATAGTAGATTTAAAATTTTTACAGCAAGAAAATCATTGATTCATTTGAAATATTACAAAGTGAAATAGTGTTCCTATTGGTGAAATTGATTATACAATAACACTCAAATAGATCTTTCACTTCTTCATTTCACTTGTTCTAAACTTAAAAGTATATTTCATTATACAAAAAAACGATTTATACTGAATTAGCGGCTAGGTTATATTGAATACGTGAGTTCTACATTTTAATCGTGATGGTGCAACAATAATAAGCTTTTCTTTTCTATTGTTTTTTTTTTTTTTTTGGAAAGTGATGGTAATTTTTTTTCATTGTATGCTCGACGTTCTTCTCTTAACAACAAACAATATTATTTTTATGCATTACATATTTCACTTGAAAAAAATCAAATTTATTATATTCATATTCTTAAACGAAATATGTAGACAAAATATTCTTAAAAATAGAAACGAGAAAATAGTAGTCTACATTTCAAACGACAATAGAAAATAATTATAAAAAATATAACGAAAATAGAAGAAAATTGGTTAACAATTCAGCTACATCAAAGATCTAATGTAAACATCGTCGGAAGTGACCGCACCACTCATCCCACTTTATTTAAATATTGATCCATATATAATAATATTTTGAAATTTAAGCAAATGTATTGACTACACTAATGAACTACAAGACAGCAAGAATAATGTAATTCTTATAATCTGTAGTATTTATATTCAGATACACTTCTGCTGATTATCATATTTATATGTAATAAACATATAAGTTTAATACTTTTTCGATTTCATATTTGTCACTACTACTATCTTGTTACTTTTATTGATCAACGCTATTGATATTTCTTTTTATATGTTAAACGATTAAAAAAAAATGTTAAAAAGAAAAAGTGAGAAAATGATCAAATTCAATGAAAATTTCCTTTTCACTTATGTTTGCCCTCGCAGATGACTTCAACTCAGAGTGTATGATAAGAATTATTTTGTCGAAAAACAAATATCAAATTCTACATCTCTGTTCATTTTGTCTTCATATTAGAAAATTCAGTGATGATATACAGTGTATATCGTTCGTTATTCTAAAACTAGATCACTTATTCATCGTCTTCTAGGAATTGATTTAAGATTGTTTTTTCTTTGAATCTTCTGATTCAATATTTAGTACTCTAAATAATATGTTAATGCTGAATACAATGACTTTAGATGCGGATGGGTTTGAGTTAGTCCTCTTTCCGTTTTTCTAGTATGTCTGCGAAGTTTTCTGTTGTGTATAGGTTTCTGAAAAATACGTCAGACAGTGCCGATAATGTACTGAATTTTAGTATAGTATAAAGTGTCTACCAGATCTGGCAGACAGTAGAATGTATTCACTACTTTTTAGTGCACAATACAGATTGTCTATCAAATTAGGAGAACATAATGCCTATTGAATCTTCTAAAAAGTATAATAAAATTGATGACATCAAAACACGTTGTGCTTATCTTCATCCAAGTTAACATACAGAAGAAATCTCATTAAATGCTTGCGCCTAATCGACATATACATAAATTCACATTTTATTTTTTGACACTCATAAATGGCTGCTACAAGAGAATCTAGGAACAAAATTCGTCCAGATTGTTGTGAATAAATGGCAGAAGAAAAGTGCAATTATTATCCAAGTTTCTACTTAGTTTTAAATGATATTTGTTCATAGTATGTAATTCCGATATAATTCAGTATATATAAACTTTTTCAAACTGAAACAATCATGTTGATTATGAGAATCATTTTGTTACTTTGAATAGATTTGTTATATTTATATTAATTACTTAACAATCAATCAAAATCCAAAACAAAAGCAACTCTTGCAGTATTTGAGCCAAAAACAAAAAATACAAATTTCAGATAGCTGTGTGAAATCAACAAAAGAAATATTTCATGGTTTACACATTAATAATTGAAATTTAATGTAAAAATATCTGTAAATCTTTCGTCATATTACGCATTATTGAGAGATCAGAAATCGTATTTGATGAAAAAATAGATTTGTAAGAAAGAGGTCGATAGATAAGATCCTGATATCCGAAATCAGTACGATGAACCATATAAAACCATATATTTTCTGAAGAAAAAGTGATTCAACAATTGAAATAGTTTCCTTTGTAAATAATACAATTCAACATATATTAATGAAGAACTATGATCATTATTGTTTTTATTTATTGTGAAATAGAACTGAATCTGATGAGTTAGTCATATATAGATATATTTCAGTCATTTGTTGTAGATGATAAATTTGCAGTTCGTTAATAATACTATATGAAGCAATAAACACTTAATCCAATCATACCAAAACAGTAAACATACAAGTTGTTGACGAAATTCAGCAAATTGACTATAACTTTGAAAAATAATGTAACTATATATAATAAAAGACTGCACACTAATAAACTCAGTTCATATGTAGGTATTTTTTGTAATTATCAACGTATATACATCTATGGAAGAAAACAACACATGATAAATAAATTTGAATACGATGTTTTCCTTATTTTGAAATATCTAATATTTCGACAAGTGAACAATTTCGTGCCTATAAAGTTTCATAAGTCAACATTCTTTGTCATTTGATGAATTCGACTGTTCTCATTGTAAATAATGTTTTTTTCTCTAGATGCAACACTTACATTTGATTCTAATACACCATAATCTATTAATAAATTTGATTAAAATCACTTTTTTTCTAACATAATATTTTATGGAATTCACATATATTTTCGAAGAAAATAGTGAGTGTAAGTTTTAAGATCAAGTTTTTGCGGCTCTCTCCCTCCCCCTTCCCCTTCCCTTACAGACATCCGCCCATTACAGACCATAGCAACGTAGGCCCCCATTACAGACCGTAGCAACTTCGCTGAACAAAGAAAAAATTTCTGTTCGAAATATTAGAGATAAAAAAAGGCAGCATTTTCTGATAGTCGATTATTATCAGAAAAGAACTATTATCTTTTAGAGAATTTAAATATTGAGTATTTCATGATTAGTATAATGAAACCAAAGAAGATATGTGAGTTTCACATTTCAGCTCCAAAGAGCAATAATAGCAAAAAAAAATATTTTACACCTTTAATTTTAATAAACCTCAATATACCTGTTTCCATTTGTACTAGTTTATGAAAACAGTAATTTCTATTTTTCTCAATTCAGTCATTAAGTCAAAAATTCTAATTGTTAAACAAAACTATAAATAACCAGGCGATGCACACATAAAGGGTGTGCCAGTGTCGATACTACTTCTTCAATTAAAATAGATGTTTTGTAACAGATACGTATATTCTATTTAGAAGAAGCCTTACTTTTACCAAAGATATTCTCTCTCATTAGCTCAGTTCTTAACCTAATCATCATTCACTCGAGTAGCATAATGCATAGAGTAAAACAACTTCTAGCTAGAATGTTTTTAGAATATATATATATATGTATATATAAAGTTGGTTTAGGTGAACTTTAAGTAGAATAGAACGTATAACTAAGAAATTTTATTCCTAACTGATGCACTTATCTATCATAAGGACTGTAATTAGCTGTACTTTGCCGAGATGAGAAGAATAAATTGACTTAATAGAAGGTCACTTGTTCGAATATAAAAACATAACGTGCTATTATACACATTAGGTGCAAATCACTGCAATCTTTCTTCAATAGGAAAGACATACCTTGGAAGACTTGTGTGAACAAAGTTAACATTCACTTTACCAATATAACTCGAAATATTGATAGGAGATTGGTTAATGGTACAAAGAAGATCAAATTTTCGTACAGAAGATGAATTGGAAATTTAATCGAACGCTTTAAGAAGATTAAAATCAATACATTAACTGAGGCTCTTTCATCACAAAAAATTAACATACCAAAATATAAAATCAAAAATATTTTGATATTTTAAATCGATTTCTCAACTGTGTGACAAATTGACAAAAAACTTCGAAGAAAAACATTTACTATGATTTAAATCCAATCGTTCTCTTTATGAAATTAGTGTTTGAATGTTAGATTGAATACACATATAAAGTTAAAATTATTAATTGTTCATTTGTTTAAGATAATTGATATAATTCTGAACTATTTAGAGTAATATCTGATTCCGATCCACCTGTAACTAACACTGTTCCATTTGTTAAAACAGATGCTGTATGACCAGATCGTACATGATTCATATTATCAGTCATCGTCCAATTTCCTGTTAATGGATCATACAAATCAGCCCTATTTGAATCACCAATAACTAACACTTTTCCATTTCTTAATATTGATGCTGTGTGCAATTGCCGTCCACTGTTCATGTTACTAGTCGGTGTCCAAGTTCCCATAGATGGATCATACAACTCAGCACGATTTATAGAAGAAGCATTAATTAGTCCACCAGTAACTAACACCTTTCCATCTGTTAGTACGGTTGCTGTATGATAATACCGTGTATCAGTCATATTATTTGTCATTGTCCAAATTCCTGTTAATGGATCATATAGCTCAGCACTATTGAGAAAACCACTATTACCCAACCCACCAGTCACTAACACTTGCCCATTACTTAACACGGATGCTGTGTGATCTCGTCGATCATTATTCATACTACCAGTTGTTGTCCAAGTTTCAGTTGATGGATCATATAACTCAGTAGTATTTGCAAAGCTAATACTAGCACGCCCACCAGTAACTAACACGCTTCCATTTGCTAATATGGATGCTGTATGTCCAGCTCGTGAATAACTCATGTTACCAGTAAATGTCCAAGTTCCTGTTGATGGATCATACAATTCAGCACTAGTTAAACGTTGAAGACCATTAAATCCACCTGTAACTAATACCTTTCCATTTTTTAAAACGGATGCTTTGTGACTTCGTCGTACATAATTCATGCTACCAGTTGTTGTCCAAGTTCCTGTTGTTGGATCATACAATTCAGCATCATTCAGATACGAACTTGAATTATATCTTCCACCAGTAACTAACACTTGTTCATTAGTTAATAGAGATGCTGTGTGTTCATATCGTGCAGTATTCATGCTGCCAGTATTAAGCCAGTCTAAAAGAACAATTTGAATACATGAAGACTGATAAATGGAGTATTATCGAAGACATAAGATTTTTTGTGTCTAATTGAAATATTTTAGAACAAAACTTATTTCTTACTCTAAGTGGAAAAGTATAAACATTCGAAAGAGTAAAAATGGTTTCAATTTTGTTGTACGAGATTCTTTATCTTCTGATCGATAGAAAAGTGACAGTTTTTCATTATTGTTAATAGACTTTTTTATACGTAGATAGTCGATAAAGGCTTTTACTTTGAATCAGTCATTCTATCACATAAATAGATTAACCTATTTTTCAATTATGTACAAACTGAGGCAGCTATAATTGAAGACTAGAAAGTCTATTGACAAATAGGAATTTCTCCTGAATTGTTTCATAGCTTTCTAATTCCCAAAATCAAAATATCACATTGTTCAAGGTATGCGTCATATTCATGTCAAGATCAGCAGAACTCTCTGTAAAAATAAATTCGTGACTGCAAAAAGTATTGTAGAAAATCCATTATTCGAGTTATTACAGATTATGGAACTGTGGATGAATTAATGGTTTTTCTCCGATTTGCCAATAAATGATTGTAATGCTTATCATAGTTGTTCAACAATTGAAGAATTTATGTCTAATATCTTGAATACTATTGGCTTCGATAATTTTCTTTTAACGAAATGCACATGATAATATCGATCCAAGTCGATTTCATTGAAACAGATCTGAACATGAAAAAAAATTATCGTATTCGACAGGAAAACATTGAAAATTGATGAAACTTAGAGGCAGTGTTGCGAATCAGAAAGTATTCGGATTATTTTTTCATGATTTTTGGCTGTTTCCCACAGGGCGAAAGGAAAAATTATCGAACGCCATTATAAAAATCTTGAAACTATCCCGCCAAGAATACTGCCTCTAAGTTCCATCAATTTCTGATTTCTTCCTGACCAAAGCGGCTTACATTTATTATACGTGGACATAATAAAAAATAGATATTTTCGTTAGTGTTTTGATAACAGTTTGCTAAAAAGAAACTCTTATTGAAAAAAAGAAACTCGAAAGAAATGTAAAATGAAGAACAAAATTGATTCAAGTATCAATCTAGTACGCGATGTAGATGGAAACGTTAGCTTGACGATGCTATGAATCATGATCGATACCAAACAATATAACTGTTGGTCATCAAGCACTGATATGAGTGTATTTCTCAAACTGACTCAAGTCAATAGATATTTTCTTTTAACTTTCATTTTGAATAATTCAAATACTTTGCAAAACTTAACATTGATAATTGTCCTCATGAAGTGTTCAAGCGTTAAGAAATTTCACTTCTTATCTGTTGATATCTACTCTTCGTCAAAGATAAAAGCGAATCTGTGGATACTTATTATAGATAGTGGCCATTTAAATCTACTATTAGTATAAATTTGATGGATTTTTCTTTGTGTTAAATTAAGCTATTTAGAAAATATCAAGTCCTACGAAGTTTCAAGAAATGGAGTCTTTTTTTAGTGGTGCTGTGATTTTGGCATTTTAGTCTGAGAGGAAATGACATACAAATAAACTTTCTGTATAAAAATTGTTCAGACTTTAACAAGCTTTCAAAATATTAGATTATGTTTTTTTTTCTTGAACAACAGTGAATGCATCGAATGATAAACTATAAATAGTGTGCATTACCGAATTTTATTGTTTTTCAGAAAATCACAGTTTATAATCCAACTAAAGTAGACAAGCTTAAAAGCAGTCAGATATTCATCACTAACATCTGGTTGTGCATCAAATAATACATTTTTCTTCAGGATGCAACGAAAGAAATTTTTCAACTTTTTCGACTCGAGAAGTATTCGATAAATATAAAAGCGTGAGTTCTGATTAACTACTCGATTTTCTTCAGAATTAGATGCCTATCCAAATATATTCTGAATACTATAAAATTAAAGCAAAACTTAGATTCTAATGAAATTCTGAAATGCAGTATTACTAGCAAATGGATGTTCTCTGAAGGTTGTCGCATTCTATCTGAAAACGTAACTTTTGTTATGAAAATTAGCTACATGAGTGAGTAGTGTTACAGAATTTCGTCAAGAACAGAGACGGTTTTTGAACCTACTGTTTTACTTCGTAGAAGTCTAATATTTGTACAAAGGTTTTTTAAGGAAAGAATACTTAGTATCTGATCGATTAACAACTCATTGAAGAACTTATTTTCTGCTGACCGTTCCTTGTTTAACGATTTGTTTCATTACTACCTTTTCCATAAATTCGAACATTGTCCATTCCAAGAAAACTTCACGTCTTAAAAGCATTCAATGTTGCTAAGGAATAGAAAATACTTCCATTTGGAATACTATAGATCACTCTCTTTTATATGATACACTCAACTTTCTGAGCATTTTGGTTCAAATCCTGCCTATCTGTGAAATGATCAATGACTGATCATACGGATCATCGATTAAAGATGCGGGTATAAGCGAGGATCTTCCATTTACTAATACTCGCATTTCTCCCTCACCTTCAATGCATAAACGATTATTGCTAAAAAGACAAGGATGAAGAAAAGATTCTTCTGCGATCAAATCTTACCCAGCATCTTTGTTGTTGTCGTTGTCGAAGCGGCGTCTGTTGTTGTTGTAGTTGTCGAAGCGGCGACTGCTTTTGTTGTCGTTGTCGAAGCGACTTCCGATGTTTTTTCTGAGTTTACCGATGCAGTGTCTGTTGTTGTCGTTGTCGAAGCGACGTCCGACGTTTTTTCTGAGTCTACCGATGCAGTATCTGTTGTTGTTGTAGCTGTCGAAGCGGAGTCTGACGTTGCTTCTGTGACTATCGAAGCCACACTCACTATTACTGTTGTGCTTGTCGATGAGACAAACGTTGTTGACAGTGTGGGCGGTCCACTTGTAGGCGGCGAATTAGGTGTGGTTGTAGTTTTTTGTCGAGTTAAGAGAACGGCTGGGACAGTCACTGCGGTCGCCACAATCACGATAACGCTTACAGCAATAAGAGCTTTGACCAGGGGACCTAGCTTTCTATATTGACAATGATTTATGACAACAGTTTTCTTTAGCTTATTTATACGAACTTGCCGCTCTTTACAGTCACTGTAGTAGAGTCATCGACGTCGAATTTCTCATATTTTGGTGGTGGAGTGGGTATTGTCGCACTTTGAGAACCCAATCCATCAACTAGTGTATCAGTTTGTCTATCAGCCATAAATGTTAAATAATGAAGTAGTTAATAAGTCAACAAATACTAAATGAAAAAAGAAATGTCTATTATACAACAAGTAGTGTGCTATTCTTTCAAGATATGTCATTATCTTTTGCAACTATGATGTCTTGTGACTTGGCAAGATAAAGAGCTCTCTACTTTTCTAACCAATAGGAGTAAAGGCCTTTTCCTGAAGTTGTTTTTCGCCAGAATTGTCATAAACACCAAGATAAAATGAAATTCTTCAGTTTGTTATCAAATGCAAAGAAAAAAGTTCTACATTAATTCTAAATGTTTGTCTTTCTGTCCACAATTCACACGTTTTTTATCTTTCTTATTCAAATTCAATGTTGCGCTGAGGGTCAAAGCAATAATTATACCGTCGAAATCTTAAGTCAACAAGTTCTTATTCGATATATTTCAATTTCACAGCAGTTTTTAATTTCCTTTAACATTTCATGATTTAACTTGTGGTTTTTAAGATTCTTCTTTGTTAGCATTTTCAAACTGATCACTAACATAAATCACCGTTATTGAATGTAAACTTCATATCCTCTGTCAACAACATATTCTAAAAATGTTCGATCAAATCAGATCATAAGGATGTTGGTGTTAGTGGAGTAGTTGATTTGAGTATAAGTGTCAATGTGTCGATCGAAGTGTACCGGTAGTTGTAAGCGGGTGATTGAATGTGATGTAGATGGGTATATACACAGGTAAGACCCCCATCGCATATTCGACCACTTACATCAACATCTCATATCGACACTCTAGGTATTATTGGTTTGATTTTATGATGAACAGTTTTATTCATTCTATTGGGAATACTCACCAGATAAGTACGACTCGACAGTATGAGTACACAAATTACTCGCACGAATATTCAATTAGTTTTATGTGTATGAATAAAGTTCGTATACTCTTAAAATTACTCATACGAGTTTTTAACTCGAAATTTCCCCGTCGACGATGACTTGAGTACTCAATATCATACGCAAATTTGTTTTTTCACAGAAAGTTTAACAAACCATATATGCAGAGTACGAGTTACTGATATTATACCATAGACTCTCTATTATGAACAGTAGAAAAGGCTTCTCCCAAATATTCACTGTACAGATGTATAGTTTTGAGAACTTTGACAAGATTTTTCCTCCTTGAAAGAGGTTTCTAGAGTTATCAAAGTGTATTGTATTTGCTAACGAACAAGTAGCAAAAATGTCCCTCAAAGTACTAATTTTAGTTATTGAATGCCAGGAAAAAAAGAAATACCCGACAAGGGAAAAAGATTCAATTTCTAGATTCTTATTAGCGAACTCATAGTTGAACTCTATCTAGCAAGGTGTGGGTGTGAATGTCATCGAACTGTAGATATCTGTCCACATTCACACTTTAATCTATGCTATGATGAAATAGAAAGAGCTCGTTTAAAAATAACACTAACATAATATACGAGAAAACGTGATTCAGTTGATAGTGTTATCAGTACTGTTTGATCAGTTTTTTTTCAGATTATTTTTTGTCTTTTATTATATAGTTTATAGGTTCCCTTATAAAAAATATAAAGAAGCAGTATATTGAAGCAAAAGCGAAAGCAATTTATTAAAATAATGTTTTAAATATATTGTTGATGTTCTGTTTCTTTTGTTTTTCCATCACGGTTAGCATCTGTAGCGGTAAGGCAAGCATCATCATCATAAACTCCATATTTGGTTTTACTATCACGACTAAACTTCGATGATGATGCATAACTTGTATTTTCACGAATAATAGCTGG